TTATTTAAGTATCATTTCATCTTGCTATCTATTACATTTTTAAGCTTGCCTGTACAAGTGATTCCAGAATTGTTTTCATTTATGTCACTTAAGCATCACGTTCATTGATTTAACTTTTTACTAACAATTTTTTATATTAAAACATAATATTATTTTACAGAACGAATATACCATCCCCAATCGACAACAACTCCAGGGATTCTGGTTTTGAAGATGCATCGTTTCTTGAAGAATTTGCGGAATTCGAGGTCTCTACTGATTCAAGTAGGCCTATGAAACAATCAATTGTCACTGTAACCGTTGAAGAAAAGCCGTCTTTCAGAAGTGTTTTCAAAGACAAAACTAACCGCCGTCTGAGGAAGAAGACGCGTCAGAGTCCTGAAAACTTTGGAGAAGTTAAGGGTTTCTTTTCGAAGAGAAAAAAAACTGTTTCTTCACATTCCAATGTTTCTGGCGCATTTGGCTCTGAGGAAGCTATTAAGTCGGCTATTCAAAGGTCCTATTCTGAACCAGATTTAATTGCTAATTTCAGCAAAACTTACTCACTTCCCCTAACCCCTTCACGTCATAAAGATTTGAAAGCAATCAGCAGCAATACCTTGAAACAGTTGCTCAATGGCGAATTCAATGACAGAGTTGACTCGTTCAAAATAATCGATTGCCGCTACCCTTATGAATACAATGGTGGCCACATTAAAAATGCTATTAATGTATACACTCGCGAGCAATGCACTGCACTTTTGGAAGAATCATCCAGTCGAATGTCTGAGATTCCCGAAATTCTGATTTTCCACTGTGAATTTTCCTCGAAGCGAGGGCCCAATCTATACCGTTACTTGAGACAAGAAGACCGAAGACAGCACGTACAAACGTATCCTTCATTGTGCTTCCCGGAAATTTATATTCTGGAAGGTGGATACAAGAATTTTTTCCAAGAAAACGCAAGCATGTGTTACCCATCATTATACACGCCAATGCTGGATCCAAGACACGGCCAAGATTTAGCTTACTTTAGCCAACTCTCCAGGACATGGGATTCGGATGTTAATAAGTTTACTGACAAAAAACAAATGAAGAACGTGATTGTTAGACAGTTTGTTTTGTGAATTTGTATGTGAGTATGTATTTTTTCAGTGTCATGCATAACACGAGTGATATCTTCCAGTACGCTTTGAAAAGACCAAGCTTTATCAATTTGTGCAATTAATTAGGTACCTACCTTATACCTATATATTATGAAAAATAAATTTTTTATGCATATGCCTAGCCAATCATTAGGTACCTACATAGAAATGCTAGACCCTAGGTATAGCCTACTTTTGTAATGTCATTATCAATTACGCTTTGTAACGCTTTTAAATGTTTATCAATTTTTGCAACTTATTATTAGGTATATGAAAAGTGCCTTTTTTTAGTATTAGGCAATTCTCCAAAATATAGGATTCAGATCAGAGTTTGATTTGTAAAGTAGTAGATTTTTGAATAAAATATCTACTGTATGTATTTTAGTGTCTTCCATAATATACAGGTGATAGTTTTCCAGTGAGATTTGTGACCTTTAGGTTTTATGTAAATAATTAGAAATTATAAAAAGTGCAATTTTTTTGAGCATATTACGTATGCCGAGCCCACCATTATGTACAGGCTAATGCTGGGTTCTAGGCACAGCCAAAGATTTAGCAGTTTGTTTTGTGACTTAGGGATTTAAAAAAAAAACTGCTACTGTATTTTTAAAGTGTCTTCCATAACACGAGTGATAATCTTCCAGTACGCTTTGTAACCTTAACGGTTTATTAATTTGTGCAATTAATTAATAGGTATATAAAAACGGCAATTATTTAATATTGGAAATATGATGATGAATATTGTTATTCATTTTATTTTTATATAATTAAATCCATAATTGCTCGAGGCTTAGAATATTAGTGATAGTTTTTGAAAAAATTGTCGCTTGCATCCAAAAACTTTGTGATTGTACCCAAGCGCTTTGTAAAAATATAAATTATTGTTTTGAATTAGGTTTTGTTGTATTATTTCTCTAGAACTGAACCAAAAAGAACTAAATTGGGTAGAAGGCACTTACCACCTAGGTATTCAATCTTTATTTTGAAGGCTTCAAAACTTAAAGTTACACTACTCAAAAATGATCTAAAATAGAAAACTACCCCAAATATTGCAAATTTTTTTTTGGATTCTCCATTTTTCATCTTTTCTTCATATCGTGAAAGGGTTCGTCGACCCTTCAACAAACTGAAGTAAACTAAGCAGCCGTAAAAAGAAAAATTAAGCCAAATATGACAAAAACCCTTTTTCATTCCCATTATGGAGAACAAGTGCAGAGGGGTTTGTTCAACCCTACCTATTGGAGAAATAGATTAGTTGAAAAAAAAAAACATCTCTTGATAATCTTTGCCCTTTTGGGGCAGTTTTTCGATCTTGAACGGCCACCAAAATAATTTTCGTTTGTGAGATGGTTGAAAGGGTTGGCAAACAATTTCCTATACTTACTGTTTGGTTTTTGTATGGATTTTGATGGATATTTCCATATAAATTGACACAAATATCCACAGAAAAACTCTACCAGAATATTGTACAAGACGAAAAAAACAAGACAAACATTTTTTTATTGATACACAAAGGCCTCACATGAAGAAAAAACAGAAATTCCCAACAAATGTTTAATAAAACCGTTTTTCAAACATACTCCTTTTACAGAGAGGAAATTAAAATAAAATTCTGAAACCCATAACTAATGCTCTTGAAATAATGGAATGTTCTAGAAGCTATCAGAAATTTCCCAAATATTCTCAAGTGCTCTTTGATACTACTAATTGAAATTATAACGTCTGAAAGTGTTTTAGAGTGTTCTAATAATATGTTCATGAAAGTTCCTAAAGTGTCATCATGTTTAAAGGTATTCTGAAACAGGGTTGTTATGTTCAAAACAAAATGTTCTAAATATTTGGACCATTAGGACCCAAAATCTCAACAACAAAAAATTTGAAATTTCATCGTTTTAGTAAGAAGGTTAATGATTTAGATTTTGGAAAAATTTGAAAGGTCATAACTTTTTTTCCATTAAAAATAGAAAGCTGAAATTTTCAACGATTCTTATCCCAGTAGAGGACTACACTATGCCAGCTCATTTGGACCTATAGTTCCTGAGATAAAATCGTGTTAATCAATTTGGGGTGATATATCAATTTTCAATTTTTCTGAGTGTCTTTTTTCCATAGAATCTGGGGGCGGATTACGAACTCTCGATTCGAACCGGAGCCGCCATGTTACACCGACATTTTGATTTCGAACGCACTCCATGCGAATGCATTTCGACGAAAGTCACTAGACTAGTCGATGCGTATTCACTTTCGTATCGAGTGTCCGTTTCGAGTCGTGTTTTCGCAATCCCCCCGCTGGCTCCAAATCTGAACCTTTTTGAAATCCGGCTGAATTGGCTGTCAAGTCATATCTGCGGCCCAGTTCTTAAAAAATATCGCATACGAAATTGGATTCGAATTTGATTGACAACAATGTAAATTCAATGGAAAGCTTTCGAAATTGCGTTCCAAATCATATCAAATTTCGTATGCGATATTTTCAAGAAATGGGCCCCTGGTCTTCATTCGGTCACTGGCCAGCTGAATATGCTCCCGAGCTAAATCATGTATCCCCAGAAGTCGTGCCCTTACTTCGTCGGCATAATCTCGAACTTCTCCAAATTTTCTGAAAGATGGCAGATTCGAAGTTTCGTTCCTGATCTAAATGCAACTATAGTGGCACACCATGACGACTAAAAACTTCGTCCACTACCACCTGAGCAATAGTGATGGCTTCTTGATTGGGAATAGCGAAAACTTCTGACCATTTAGTGAAGTAATCCATGATAACCAAGATGTATTTATTACCACGCTCTGACTCAGGGAACGGTCCGACTACATCTATCGCTATTTTTTCAAATGGGAGACCGACGTTGTACTGTTTCATGGGCCCCCGAGATCTTAGTTTAGGGCCTTCACTGGTAGTACAAATGTCGCATTTTCAGCACAGTTTTTAACGTATTCATGATAGTGGACCCAGTTAAAACGTTCTAGAATTTTGTCCAAAGTCTTGCTAACTCCAAAATGTGCCCCTGAATTTCCGTCATGTATTTCTTTTAATACAATTTCTACTCGATCTTTTGGAATAACTAGTTGGCTCTTCGTAGTTTTCCCATCGGCACTTTTCCAAACTCTTTCCAGTAAATCATTTTCTACGGCCAGAGAGTTCCACTGAGCACACAACACCTTGTAAATCAAGCTCTTGATCGAGACTTCCCTCCATTCTGGCCTACCTTCATTATTTTCTTTGAGATGTAGAATCTGCTCTCATTGGTTTGATAGTCCATTTATCATCAACGACAAAGAAATTCTTTGACTTGACTCTTCAATAATTCCCTCTTGAAACATTTTATCAATTTGGTTTTCCACTTCCTGTTGTTTAGCTACTGGCATACGTCGAGGTGGTTGTCTAATTGGGTGCGCCAATCCAGTATCAATTTTGTGTTGAATTAAACTGGTCCGTCCGGTCCTAGAGTCTGTCCAATGAGATTTTTTTCTAGTTTATCTCCAATAAAATTATGTGTTAGTCCAACGCAACAACCAGGGTTTGTTTCCAATTTTCCGCAAATGATTTTCTCAGTACTTCCAGGAATCCTCACCGGGTTTTTGGCCAGGATCTTAACAGATTGGAATTCTTCTTATTGTTTTTCTTTTTGTCGCCTAGCTTCTTCTTCGTGTTTGTCTTGTTGTCGTTTGATCTCTTGAAGTTCCAACATTTTGCACACGTTACTACACTATATATCTGTAATCTATTCCTGTAAAATCCAGAATAAACGCAATAGCCCTATTTCCCGAATAGCACTGTAAAATCTAGAATCAGCTGTCCAATTCTGTACACCCTGGCGCTTCCGCCAGATTTTCGCGACAATAGGTATATATAAAAAACACAAGGATCCACCAAATACATTATCAAAAAACCAATTCTCTATCCACTAGAATACAATTAGCTTGATTTTTGCCAACCCTGATGGTTGAGTCACCATGATTTCCTTTTCCTACAAATGTGGAAAAAATGAATGAGAGACCAAAAAAGAAACACCTTTTTTTTGGTTCTCTCTCTTGGATCTCTCTTACCAGAGTGACATTCAAATCAAATCAAAATATGCTTTATTGTTTAAAGACAGAAAATTGTCAGCATTTTATCAACAAAGCTAATACGTATGTATATAAAAATTAATATGAAACTGGACAAAGGATACCTAAAATGAAATTAAAATTTAAAAAAAAAAAAAAAACATCTCATCTATACTTAATAGTCAGTCACAGTCAAAAAATAAGCATTTACGTCTACAGCTACAGACACATACAGCTGTTTTTCAGCTATAGGTGTCAAAATAAACATTTATCTTAAAAATATCATTTAGCTAATTAGATAATAAACTCACGGTTTGTACATATTATTTTAATAAATAAATAAATAAATAGATAATGTAACTCAAACATAATCTGCCTGAGAATTCTTGTTGGCTGGTTTTCATTTTCCTAAAAATTTGGAAATGCTTTTTAATGAAACTTGAAATATTTCAATACATACATTGGTTGAATAAACATCATCTCAATTTATACCCTCAACACTGGTTTCTATCAAAATGCTGTTCAACGTATTTCAAGCTAGAAAATTGTCTACCACACTTAGTACAGGAAAATGATTCTGCGTTTCTTTTTCTGGAACTAGATTTCTCTTTCCACGGCAATTCCTCGTGAACCTTTATTCGTTGCAATACATAAGGAGTATTATTTAAAACTTGTTCAAAATCAGGCTCGTCCACGGTCTTGCACAGCAAATTATGCCTAACGATAAAGTGCGTTTGTAGCTGGTTCATGATCTCAGTTTTGAAGCTGCACAATCGACAAGACAATTTTCCTTCTGCGCCGCATCTTTCCAAATGAAATTCCAATCGTCTTAGTCTCCGAAAAGCTTCGCCACAACCGTTGGGGCATTCGTATTCGCCCGCTTCGTTTCTTTTGTGGGACTTTTCCTTGAACTTGTCTCCGAATCCATAAGAGTTTGTCGTAGATCTTTCACGTTCTTCCAAACGCTTTACCTTGAAACCGTGTGCTTTGATAAGGTGAAACTGGAACGAGTCTTTGAAGCGTGTATTGAAATCGCACAAGTTGCACTTGTTTAGTTTGTTAGGGTCTCTGTTGTACTGGTGCCTCCTATAGTAGTCACTCATTTTGACCAGCTACAAAGAATAAAGATATATTTTGAGTGTCATGTTTATTGAAGCATCTATTGGTTGCTAATTTACTAATGTTCACGGTCAGCTGACTCTTTATAAAACAAGTGCGTCAATGTCATTTTGGAAAAAAAAAAATTATTCTAAAAAGGACATTTAGGGATTGTATTGATTGGAACTTTGCAAGTCAAAAGACTTTAAAGCTATTCAGATTTGTAGAGGATTTAATTGGCCTCAATTTCCGCATAGTTACATTAAGATTTGATTAAAATTAGTAAAGTTGTGAGGCAAAATGTGCGGCAATGTAATTTTGGAAAAAAAAAAAAATCATAAAGACAACGTTGATAATGTTTCAATTTTTTTTTTTTTTTGGTAAATGTTTGAGGGATTAGATTAAAAATTGAGCGATTGGCTCAAAAAAATATTCAAAGTTGAGAAAAAAAAAATAAAAATTTTGACACAGAACTCAGTGGCGGATTTAGAGGGGGGCGCGGGGGGCGCGCGCCCCCCCCTATTGAGCGACGCAACAACGAAATTTTTAACGAAAACACAAACATATTCATCAAGCATTATCCAACATGAAATTCCATATGGTTTTTGCTATTTTTCCAAATTTTTAATACTTTTAAATACGTTTGGCAGCAGCGAGCTGGGAGCGAATCGACTGCGGATGACGTAAATCCGCACCAACTTTGAATTTAATCTATAATTGAAAATTCCAATTAAATTTAATCTCCGATTAAATTAAATGTTGACGTCAAATGATAGTTTATGAAAATCTAAGATAGGAATGTGAAATCGGTTTTCCTCTGAAATTAACCGTTCAGGTTTTACAGCCTGTCAAAGTTGCAAAAAGTCAATGTTCAACTGTCAATATTTCCAAAACAGTTGAACTTAGGTATAGGGTATATCACATGAAATCTGCTCAGAATTTTACGTAGAATCCAAATATGCAATCACATACAGGGTGTTTTATTTGAAAAAAAGAAAGTTGGTCTAGATAGCAAACAAACCAGAAGTGACACAGGCAATACGTTTAAGTAGAATTGTGGGAAATATTAGGGACATAAAGCTACTTGAAATAATTCATCGGTATCGGTATCCGTAACGCAACTAGATACGTTGACAAGCGAAAAGGCTGTTAAAGCGCTCCCTGTTCCGGAAAACGTAAACGCATTTCATAACCTAGACATTTTTGTCTCAAAACTTCGGCGTTTCTATATCTAACCTTAAAATTGTTATTTTTTTGCGATAGAGAAGCACTAAACACACAAGAAACTCAAGAAAGTATAAACTAAACAAATTAAATCAACCCGGAAGAAAAGGGAGGTTATATTCATTTGAAATTTGACACATGCGTCAGGAATGTCAAGATACGTTACCGATACGGATACCGCGAGAGGGCCGTAACGTTACGTTGTACGTACGGTATCTCGGCCTCCGTATCGCTTCTGCACATGCGCAGTACGATACCGATACGGATACCGAGCAAAAAATACGGAAGCTTTATGTCCCTCATTTACTGAGCAACTTACATTAAGGTCACTTTTTCGTATACGAGGTAATTAGAAAGTTACAGGTATTAAACGCGACTTTTTTGCCACTCTGTATATTTAAGTCGTTTTTTTATTATTTCTTATCTGAGCCTGAGGCCCTGATGGATCGCCCCCCCCTAGAAGGAATCCTAAATCCGCCGCTGACAGAACTTAACCTAATAAGGTTCAAATCGGATTGAAATTAAAAAAGTTGAGAGGCAAAAATGTGCGTCAAATTCATTTTGGAAAAAAAAAATCCAAAAAAGATATTGATAAGCAGACAAGCAGTCTGTTATTTTATTTTTTGATACAAATCATTTGCAATTTTGCAACTGGATAGAAAAAAGTTCAAAAATGCTGTTTTTTTGGTACTTTGAACCTGGGAAACTATTGGTGCTACGTACATTAAAGTTGTTACTTAATCTCCATTATTTTTATGTTGAACCACTAATAAAGCCACTTCATCATATAGTGAATGTTACTTTCAGTACTGAGATTTTTCCTGGAATCTTAAAAACAACTGTAGTTTTACCATTCTTTAAGAATGGGGACCTACAAACATCTCCAACTAGTACTGTGAGTAAAATTATTGAAAAGTGTTTGAGAACAAAATTATTGGCATACCTCGAACAATATGAACTCTTGCACTGTAATCAATTTGCTTTAATGGAAAAAACCATTACTGAAAATGCACTTTCCAGGGTAACAGAAAAAATAATAAAACAACTTGATAAAGGCAAAAATGTTATAGGAATTTTCCATGACTTATGGAAGGCATTTGACACTGTGGAGCAAGTTAGTATCAGAGGTATTCCAATGAATCTTATTAATTCATACTCAACCAAAAGAAATCAGAGTACTAACATATCAGGCGTTCAGAGCAATAAACTAGAGGTAGAGTTTGGTGTGTTGCAGGGTACGGTGCTTTCCACTACATTATTTTTTAATATATACATAGATGACATGTCTTAGCTTGATAGAGAGGATATCCTTTGCTTTGCAGATGATTCTTGTGCAGTAATTAGTGGGGATGATTGGGAATCTGTAAAAATGAGTGCTGAAGCGGCTTTGGAAGGTGGCTAGATGGCTGTTTGCTGTCCCTCAAAATAGATAAAACTAAAATAATAACTTTTTCACTAAGCGCTCATTACCAGATTTTCAAAGTATTAAATTACATGATGGTGCTTCATGCAAATTGGATACTCAATGTGATTGTGTTGGAATGGTTCACAGAATCTCTTCCCTCAAATATTTGGGAGTATTTATAGATGAAACTTTCACTTGGAAAGATCCAAAAAAAATATATCACCAATAAAATAAGGAAACTTATTTATAAATTTTATGAATTAGGATACATGTTATCTTTTAAGATACTTAAACAACTGTATTATTCTCTTATAGAATCTATTCTCAACTATAGCATAGTTGTGTGGGAAAATGCAGGTTTCACAATACTATCCAAGCTATTAATCACACAAAAGTGATTGATAAAAGTTATATTGTTCAAGAATGAAAGATATCCAACTGAATAAATCTATAAAGAAAGTGGTTTATTAAATATTAATCAATTGTCTATTATCAAATCAGTAATAAGGTATCTGTTAAAAAACACTGACTATAGACAAAATATAACATACAGCATACTCAAATACTAGAAATGTAGTTCAAAATAATCTGGTTCAAGGCAACCCCAGGCAAGGTTTATAAACCTAGCAAGTTTTTTTCCACCTTGGGACTGCTAGGTTTATAGACCTCCCCAGGCATACTATCTGCCAAAATAATATTTACTGTGTAGGACCAAAAATTTTCAACTCACTGCCCCAAAACCTAAAATCAGAACCAATTTGTTATATATAAAAAATTAAAGAAATAATAGATTTTATTTTGTTCAACTTTAGTAGTGAACTAATGTTATATTTTTATTGTTTTTTTCTTTTTTGTTAACTATTGTTAATAAATAAAATAAACCCCCCAGTAAACCCCTAATTATTGGACAAAACAAAAATTAAATTTCCTGATAAAAGAAATGTGTCAAACCCAATCGTTTTGTCTTTTACAAATTGAAATTGATTGAACTATCAATCAGTTTGAACATATTAGTGCAAGCATTTTCCGATTTTTCTGCAACAATTGTATTTCATATTATTATACAAAATTAACAAATGGGCAGGCATTATTATATCCAGTACGTGTAATCAATAATGACAGGATTTCAGAATAGTTAATGTAAAAATGAGGTAAGAGGTAGTTGGTATGTAAAAAGTGATGCTGAATGTATGCAGATAGTGAAAATAGCTCGGAAAATAGAGACTGTCATTGGATGTAACGATGGAATGCTGGAAACTGCAACCCCCATAGATCCTATATTTACTAATGATCACCAACAGCACTACTGATTTTTCCAATAAAGTATCCCAGGTACCTCTATTATTAATTTACTGTAGAATGTAAAATCTCATCATTGAATACTGCTCCAATCCAAGCCCAATCTTTAAAATGACATCCACTGCCACTGCATTGAGGTCTCAAGTTGAAGACCTCAATGCGATGTCATTGTAAAGATCAAACATTGTCATAACCGGGTATTCATAATGCACTGATTCTAGACTAGATAACCAATTATACCAAAAACATAACAAACCTAATATTATTGCTGTTTGCTGTTGTTGCTTTTGCATCTGATAGTCTGGATTTATAAAGCCGAAGCCTTCTATTTGAGGATTATTTTTCAAATATGCATACATACTTCCTAATGAAAATATAATAAAGATGTAGATACCTATACCTACATATAACAACCATGATGAAAATTAAAGGAAATTACCCTCGAAATTACCTTAGCCCTTGAAGACAAAAACTTACCAATTCCCACCACAGTCACAGTGAGTCATTTTCATTCTTGTTTCAACAAAACAAAAGGAATACAGTGAAGTTACTAACAAATCACAGAAACATGTCAGTAGTTTATTTATGATTATGAAGGAGAACGGGACTAGGACCAGGACGAGACAGTTCTCAGCTGAGAGGCTTCGCCAGCGTTGTCGATTCCTCGTCTTGCTCCTTGCTTTGCCACCAGTGGCACCCTTGGAAAAGTTTGCTAAGATCCTAGGGCGGATTTACTTACGTTTGAACAGGGTTGGCAAAAATTTTCTCTACTTTAATTTTTGGATGGATTTTTTATGGGTATTTCTATGTAAATTAACATAAAAATTCACGGAAAAATCATATCAAAACATTTAAAAGAGGAGAAAAAAAAAACAAAAATGAAAACATTTTTGCGACGCACAAACAAAAAACTGAAATTCCAAAGAAATGTTTAAATATTCTCGAGCGCTCTTAGATACTTCCAATTGAAATTGTAACGTCTGGGTCTGAACGTGTTTTATATAGAGTGTTCTATCAGGTCTGTTTCTGCAGAAATCACAAACCTGTCAGAGCGAATTTCCTTGGTTGAAAACAGTCAGAAAACTAGTTTCAACCAATGAAATTCACTCTTACTGGTTTGTGATTTCTGCAGAAACAGACCTCTATTATGCTCATGAAACTTTTAATATACTTCTAAAATGTCAGGTAACGATTTTCAAGACATTCGGTAAAAGTTTCCAGTTTTGGATTTGTGTTTGAAATTCTAAATTCTACATGGAAGTTTTTAAGTCAGGGGGGGAATTCTCATCCTCTAGTCGGAACCTATCGTCCCGACTCACCCGTTGAAAGGCAATGGGATAATCGGGAGGATAGGTTGCGACTAGAGGATGAGAATCCTCCACCAGTTCTAAAGTGTCAAGTGATGTTAAGATAGGTATTCTAAACGTTTCCAGTTCTAGATTGTTTCCAAAAGTTCCATAATGAGTGTTTTAGAGTGTTCCAAAAGCTTTCTGAAATGTTGCAGCAGAAAGTTCAGAAGTGTTCTGGTCTGTTGTAAGAATGTCTCTGAAATTCCAAATTAGTTCTAACTAAAGTATTCCGTAACGTTTTATGATTTTTACAATAGGTATTTAATCAATTCTATTAATACATACGGAGTTTCAACGAGAATCAAAATACCTTTAAAACAAAGTTCCACTCGACCTACCTAATACTTCCTACCTAGCTTCCTTATCTTGATGAAAGGGGTGAACGTTACCCCTGAATAACAAATTAAAATTATTAGAAAAGTATTTTTTAAAAAATGAATATTGACGTGACCGAGAGGAAAATTTTAATCTGAGAATAGCAGGGCCAGAAAATTGTTTCATATTTAGCTCATGGCATCTTTGACGGTGGATATCTTCTTGAGAACTAATCATTCGATTTTCAAAAAAAACGCACTTGTGACGAGAATCAAAATACCTTGTTTAAAACAAGGTACCACTCAATAAAACCCATCTTCGGCATCTTCCTTATCTAAAAGGGTGTGATAGAAAAACACGACGGTTTTTTACAGGGCCCCACAGCTAGATAGACTACGATGAAACACGACGCCGGTTTTCATCGCCACGATGAAACACGTCGTTCCAAAATCGAAGTGTGTGGTAGAAAACCGTCGTGTTTCATCGTCGGTTTAAAGTTCAGTCCGAGCTTGATTTTTGGCACGATGGTTCAACATTTCATACACACGAACAGTTTTCTACCACACACTTATCGGTTTTGGAACGACGTGTGTTATCGTGGCGATGAAAACCGTCGTGTTTCATCGTAGTCTGTGGGGCCCTGTAGAAAACCGTCGTGTTTTTCTATTACACACTTCGGTTTTAGAACGACGTGTTTCATCGTGGCGTGTTTCATCGTAGTGTATGGGGGCCCTTTAAATCTTGCTCTCCCATAAACCCTTGACATTTCTTATTGTTTATTGTTATATCTCTGTTAATTTCGAAGCAAAAAATATGTGGTTTGCACTGTTATCTGGTCAATACAGAAGCGAAACTTTTATAAAGAATATTTTTTTTCCGATTCAAGCGTTCGTTTTCCGTTAAATGAAAAAAATACTCCCTACAAAATAAGTATTTTTTCCTCTATACGTTGGTATCAATATCTCGATTTTTCATGATAGTGCCGTGCCCTTTTGCGCAGTCAAATTTTGTATTACCTTCGGAATAAAGGGATACCTTATCATGAACTTTGATCCCTGAGAAATTCAGCTTGTGACAAAAAAGTGGGAGATAAAACGATTTCTAGAGCGAATATTTTAATCCATTCACTCTACTATTCGCAGTACCTATCTCATTCATGCAGAACGTATAATTTGAATATGTATAATATTATCAGGTATCTACCCTACTTGCATGTTTCTTTCAATTCTTTCCAGAATTTAATTGACAGTAGTAGAAGCTTAAAATTCCGGCCTTTGTTAGGAAAATTTTGTGTGATTTCTTGATAAAATGGCGAACCAGTCGCAACAAATAAGATAAAAATAGAAAAACCAACATGCGTATACATATCAAAATGTGAAAAAAAATCAAATAGGTAGGTAGGTATAGTTATTTATCTATTTAGCCGTGTTCGGGTTTGAAAAAAGGACGACTCTAATATTGTTTAGGGCCGGTTTCTCAATAGCAAGTCACCTCCGGGACCGGGTTGGTTTTAACTGCAGGGTAAGCGTCAGTGTGTCCAGTTGCTATTATGTTTACCCTGGAGTTTATCCTTAACCCGGGAGAAACTTGCTATTGAGAAACCGGCCCTAAAAAGAACGCTTCTCATGCTGCTAATTTACGAGGTCATACCTAATAGGTCTGTTTCTGTAGAAATCACAAACCAGTCAAAGCGAATTTCATTGATTGAAACTAGTTTTCTGACTGTTTCTGACTGTTTTCAACCAATGAAATTCGCTCTGACTGGCTTTGTGATTCCTGCAGAAACAGACATATAACGATATTACCAACTTAAGACAGTTGTGAACGTGCGCAGTAGATACATGTACTGTGCGTGCGCAAAATAAAGCCAATGAAAATGAAAGATATTTCAAAACTTAAAACAGTTGTTTGAAAGATAAGACAATGCGCAGGCGTTAAGCTTAATTCTCACTTGCGCGAAATTCGCTCTTTTTGACATTGCTTTGACAATTTGACGTTTGATACACGCATAAAACGTCAACTTGTCGAAGCAATGTCAAAAAAAGGGCGAATTTCGCGCAAGTGAGAATGAGGCATAGGCTGTTCCGTTGCACAACTGTTCGTAGAATATTGACCACAAATTTTCGCACAAGCTTAGCCAATAGAGCCGTACACGATTGTTTATCCCTTTATTTTTGAGATCAGTGGTAACTACCCATACTGTCCCATACTCCATACTATTGGCGTTTTTCATTTGTCATCTCAGTGCGCACGATAATTTTTCTGGTGTTGTCAAAAACGCACACCAGTGCAGCAGTTTGAATCGAAAACAAAAATGCAGACTCGCATCGCTCGGATTCCCCAAACTTTTGAGGTTATGTGAAGTATGTTGGTTAGTTGTTTTGTTTAGCACTTGCCGGTTTCTGCTTCTCTGCTCTCTCTGCATGTTTTATTATATTTATAAATTTAGTCAAGTCGAGTCTCGAGTTTAGCCTGGGCTGTGATCGTTCTGCTGTAGTTTAGTACAATCCATTTTTTAAATAGTTTTTAATCTAAACTGCTGGATAAATTGCTTTCGTGCAAAAGGAAAATGTTGCCTAACTTTCAAGCTCGATATTTTTGGAACCAAAATATCGACCTTTGTTCCATGTAGCAATTTTGTTCACAAAAAGTCAATCTGTCAGCCCGTGAAAACCGGAGGTCGATATTTGGTCTGGATCCAAAAATATTGAGCTGGAAAGTTAGGCGAAAAAATGTCCTTGTTCGAAAACAATTTATTGTCCAGCAGTTCATTTAAAAAATGGATGTAAGTATTTGAGATAAATTTTAGAATTAATGAAGAAGAAGAAGTCATCTCACAAATTTGGATCGATGATTCATATAATAAATAACAGCTTGATCCTTCCCTGCGGTTCAACTCGGACAGTATTTCTAAACAACAATAATAATATGTACCTATATATCTAAAAACAACGTAGATAAGGTGTGAAATTCGTTCAAATAATATAATTTTTTCATCGGATTCATCTTCGCTGATGGCACATATATCTTCGCTGATGGTACATAATAATCCAAAAGTGCAACAACTTTTTCTTTGAAAATAAAAGCAGAAATTTTTATCTACGGTACATGTAAACAAAAACAAAACAAACTGCACTGGCTCTCCACGAGCTTGCATAGCTCGTGCCAGAAAATGCGCACTGAGTGCATATTGCACTAGATTTCAAATTAATGGAAAACGGAAACTTAATGTGCAGTCAAATGGAATATAAAAACTGCACTGAGTGCACCTCCGCGCAACAAATGGAAAACGCCATATGAGTTTGGCTGTGTTTAACGGGACTTAGCGGATGTTAGCGCTTTCGGCTACTTGACCGATAAACGACTAGCTAGCGCAAAAGCGCCTGTCAGCTTACTTAGCTCATTTGAAAGGTGCTATTTTTAGTTAGCTGTTGTTAGCGCTAATATGAAATGTCATAAATGTCTAATCTACCCTAGCACCTAACCTAACATTACATATTTTTTCTTTTGGTTTCTGGTTGATGTTGGTGGGAGCCTGGGAGCTGCTTTATTTTCAAATTTGCGACATGAATATTCAAAATTATGGAAATGCCGATGTCATTAAACACAAAATTCTTAATTGTGGGTTTGTTAGGTTATGTTTAGAGTTTAGAAAAAATCTTGAAACATAAATAGGTCGTTCAACGGCTACAGTTAGCGCCTACTGGCGCTTTCAGCGCTAGCGGGTTTACGCTAAGTCCCGTTAAACACAGCCGTGTTTATATTGCTTTGACAAGGTCAGTTTATCCTTCCCTTCGAGCTTGTTATGCTCTCATCAAGGCCGAGTTCAGAAATAACGCACAGGGTGCGAGTGCGATTTTATGGGTGTGCCTGAATTGACAATACACCTATCTATTTTTACCTGGTAGGCGCGCGCAACACGAGGGAGGTGTTCGCAATGAACTATAACCAAAAACTGGAATGCGCACACATATTGACGAACGTGAAGCCTAGTGCCGCTGCTGCGGAGGGGATACCTGTTTTTGACGCACTCAATTATGTTAAATGGCGGAAATTGCTTCCAACACGTATTCCAATTGATGAAACCTAGTGGGAGATTCTCATCCTCTAGTCGCAACCTATCGTCCCGACTATCCCATTGCCTTTCTACGGGTGAGTTGGGACGATAGGTTGCGACCCTCTGTGATGAAGGTAAATTTGACAAAACTTTCCAAAACTTCATATGTCAGCGAGCAACTGAACAAAACTACAGTGACTCTATTACCCACAGTGGCGACAATTGCTGTCTTATTATTTTTGATTGGTTCTAAAATCCCATATATTTATATTGGAAACGCGGCCATCTTGTTGACACCTATTGCTTATTTCAAATATGAATATATGGGAACATCCATCATAAAACATAGAAAACAACGTATTTGATGGACCTAATAATAGTCATCAAATACGTCGATTTCAATTTTTTATGATAGATGTACATTTAAATCCTATAAATTAATATTTAAAAGTACCAAGAGTTTGGGAACAAAATGGCGGCGGGACCTCTATTGTCGCCACTGTATGTAAAGGTTTATTTAGCCACTGTAAAAAAAAACAACATTCCCCTTGTGGCATCTGTCTTTCATGGCTTCATTTTTTTGGCAGATATGGTAATGTGTGCACATTCCAGTTTTTGGCTATAGTTCATTGGGTGTTCGTTTTGCACGCTGGGCATCTCCTCCTTGTTCATTGCCCGTGGTCAGACAAGGATAAAAGTACGGTTGCTATTCAACTTGACATAGCTTAACAAGTGACATTCAAAAGTTGTTTGAAATTTTTCATTGTTAAATACGTTGCACAACATGCGGTCTTTCTCATTCATTTTTTATTCCGTGCAAATGAGAAGGACGGATTGCTAATTGCTATACGTAAGTCTAACATAATTTGGTACGTTTTGACTCATTTTGCGCAATGAGCGTTCTGTGTCTTTTGTTATCAAATGAAATGTCCGTATTATTACCTCTTTGTCTGGTAAAATAGATAGGTCTATTGGCCATTGGGCCCATAGCACCGTCTAGCATTTTTGAACAGCTACGGCGTCTCACCGGTGTCACACTCACACTGGGTGTGTCATTCCCGAACTCGCCCCAGTGTACTACCTATTGGTTACGTGCACATGACGTCACTAAATTGACACTGGAGGTATGACAACCTCAACCTAACCTTATTCCATTCGTTTGGTTTATATTCAAGTTCTTGACAGTGTGTCGAACCAACCAAACCAAAGCTTCAACACACTGTCAATTATACTCATGAGCATGTATTGCTCTGACATGGTCAGATTTATGCAATACGTGCAGTTTTGCTTTTATAAGACAATGGAGAAATCCGAATTTTCAATCATTGGGCATTATCACTTATAATTGCAGACTGGTTTCGAGCTAGTTATGTTCTCATCAGTTCAATATACAGGCAAAACAGTAAAGTAAAACCATTATTGTAAAACATCTAATTCGTTTTTCGTAGCTATGGTCATGAAACGCTATTCGCCAGACGGTCGAGAACATTTATTTTCAAATGAAATCTGTGTATAATAATACTTATTGCGTTTTTGGATCCTACTGTAAGATTTACACCTTCCTTGATAATTGCGATATATTATGCTCTGCTCTTGAAAATGACATTTCACCCACGCAGTGCATTCCGGTCTCAATCATAATCTTCTGAAATAAAAACAATTAAATGCCTCCTAATATCTTCTATGTTACAATACAATGTTTGATCGGTTTGATTCAAACATATTTGATATTCGCAGTACGTATACAGAGTTCAATGCAGAAGGCAGAACGATTTATTTAAATATGTATAAATTATTACTTATATAATAATAGGTATATGTTTCTTTTCAGAATTAAAGTAACCAAAATTATGAAAGGTTTTTTGATGTAAAAGCTTGAAAATTGTTAGAAAAATTTTGTGTGATTTCTTGATAAAATGGCGAACCATGCAAGCCAAAAAGAGTCATTATAAAAAGTGGCGCATCTAATCAGTAACTAATTAAATGTAATGAAAATTGGGCAAAAAAATTAACTTTATTCTATTTCTACCAATGGATTTTGAATTCAATTTCCACCAAGTATCGGCTCAATCAATTAGGCAATTTAATCCATCTGTCGGCGTGGCGGCCAAGCAAGCTTGTTTTGAATATGTTTTTATGTGTATTTTAAATTATTTTGCTTAGAGTTTTGCCCATGTGCGCCGCCACACCATCTTGAGTGAGAAAAAATATAGGGTTATGATGATGTTTATTTGATTACAGACAGTGGCGTATTTTAAAATTTGGCGCCCTGGGCCTATAAGGTTTGCCGCCCTATAATTTAACAAAAAATTAAATAATGAAAAAATATTTTAACAAAAAAAGAAACACTGGAAGTCAGAGTTTACTGCAGTGCAGTGCATAGAATCATACGTAATACTATTTCTGTATGAGAAAAAGCTTCCTTCAAATTCCTTTCCTCATTAAATAATATGTTGAGTTTACTCAAACTCATTTTGTTGCTTGGTTTATTGTTTGTTTATCAAGATAGCATTCCTAAGTGCTGGGACACGGCTTGTGCCGCCTCTGGCAGCCCTACCGCCGTGGGCCATGGCCCCCATGGCCTTATGGTAAATACGCCACTGATTACAGATACAGACAGAAAGAAAACGCTATTCTGTTCTGTTCTGAATCAATACCTATTACACGGTAAGTCCGGAGCTGTCGTATTCGATATCGAGACAATTGGACTCGACTCGTAAAATAGAATCCGGGGGCTGATTGACCGGATCACCCAGTTAATGAACTTTGTCTTTTTTCAATCATGTTTAATAAAGAAAGAGAAACGACAAACAGCTGGGATCGGGCTAATCGTGTTAGCGTTTCCGAAAAGGCGTACCATGACTAGGTATTTTTCTCTTTTACATGTTGGTAGAAAGAGAGGCAAATACACGTTGCTGTCATCAAAATGATTATATCCACTGCCCGTCTCTGTACTCACATAACCTACAAATATAAAAAATAACCGGCTACCTCACTTTCACTTCCCAATTACAAAAGTTTAATAAAAAAATAACAATAAACAAAAACAAAACGAAAAATACCGAAGTGTGTTGGCTTTCCTTAATGACGGTCATATTATGAGTGTCATTTTTGTGATGTGATGCGTGCTGTCACCTATGGGTGTCCCAAGTCATTACCATACATTTGCCAATGTTTTTTTTGTTGCAAATTTATTTATGTATTTGCACACACATGCAAGATTTTTAATTTTCAGTATCACGTTTTAATTTGATGGTCGAATCTTGTATGTATTCAATTCAATTTAATTATATTCAATTGCGCATTTCTTTTGAATAGCACAGTACCACTAACCTACTATCGCTTGATCCTTTGACATCTGTAATCATTCCCAAAAAAAATAAATTATTATCTCCTAGCTAAGCCGAGTTTAATTGCTTCTATTTAAAGTGACTGCACGTTTTCTTCGGCGGTAATTTTTGGTATTTTTTAGTGGCGACACACACATAATGGGAGGCAAACATTCATCAATTGATCCAAAGGATATTGATGTTCCAAAACTAGAAGACTTTTTGAACAGGGATTCTTATTTACGACCATATGAAAACGAAATTCGACGCCGGTAAGTTGTAATGTTTTTACTGAAGGTCAGTCAAGGACAGGCATTTGCATACGATTTTCTTATTGCATTTTTTGCAATGTTGGTCAGATGTTTCCAATTATTGACCATTCCTACTGTTATTTAGCTGGCCCCCCCCCTGAAAACTTGCCCTCATGTTGAAAACAATGTAATGCAACATGAGTAACCTCTGCTCTCTGGTTAATTTGATATTTGGTGGGCGCCAGGCAACCGCGACTATGCTTTCGCTTTTCTGGGATTCCCCCAAACATATTTGTGTCGGCAGGTACAGGGTTTTCCTGAAGGCCGGTTTCTCAATAGCAAGCAAGTCACCCCCGGGTCAGAGCAGTTAACCATAACTCCAGGGTAAACATTGCAATTGGACAGGTTTACCCTGGACTAGCTATCGAGAAACCGACCCTGAACGGTTAATTGAATAGGTATCAAGAAGATTTACCTATACAGGGTGTCCGTTTCTCGAGAGCAATCATTGGAATATAGGAAACGGTAAGAGATACAGGTTCGGTTAAATTGGAACAAAGTTGCACAATTTCTTGCTTAACAAAATGCTACTTCGAAATTTGGAAAATTCCGAATACTTCCGGAGATACATGGAAATCAAAATTTTGTAAAATCATTTCTATATTTTCCTGGACTCATTTGTAAAGGTATTTCAAATAAACTTCACTTTATTGGGGCAACTTTCTCCCCTCTACATAAATAAAAATTTGAAATCCGACGTTTCGTCTTTTGCCGATCATCATCAACTTTATTTTTTTAAATAGAGGTTTGCATTTTTATGAATTGTATTCGGAGTTTCTTGATCTCCCAAAAGCAGTAACACATTTGGCCATTGATTCCGATTTTGTATCTCTTACCGTTTCCTATATTCCAATGGTTGTCCTCAAAAAACGGACACCCTGTATACAAAATCCAATAAAAACCTTTTTGATACATTCAATTAAGCTGTTCAGGTGGAGTGCAAAAATATACGGGTAAACTTTGCAATTCCCATTTTTCATTTCAAAGAAGAAAAGCAATAGATTAAGAACAAGTGCCTCCCCTAATTTTTTTCTGGCCCAGCCTGGCCCCCCTTAACGTAAAACCCTGGCGTCGCCACTGTTTCATTGCAACAATCATTCATAATATAGGTACCTACCTAATTTAATTTTGAATGTGGTGGATACTCTACTGTAACTTTTAAGTACTGACTTGACTATTGAAATTAGGTATTTTAAGTATAAAAATCATTACATTATACATACATGCTCCAACCAAAGATATCAAGCTCTAAAAGCTACATTATTGATCTCATTTTTTTATAATAATTTAAGCTTGTTGCTGTTGCTGTTCCATTTCTCTATGCATTTTGGAGCGTAGAACAAACACACTCATCTGATTCTGTTATTATGGATTATGGACAAAAACTCCTACTCTTGAGGCAGTTGTTTTTTTTTTGGATCCACAGAGATGTTGTGTTGATAAGGTTCACCCGAGGGTTTACCAACATTATTTCTATTTTTTGAGAAACTACAAATCGGCTATGTTAAAATTAGGAACATTTTGGAAAAAACAAAAATTCAAAAGTTGGGACTGGGAGTAAACAAAAGTGGGAACAGAAATGGTAGTTTTTCTATTCCAAGCTCTTGGATTTATTTAGAAAAATTTGAAGAAAACAAGAATTCAATTTTTAGGCATTGGTAATGGTAATGATTTTTTTTTTCTATCTCAGTATCTATTCCCATCAGGGTCTTCGATTTACTTTATTTCGAAAAAATTTGAAAGAAAACAAAAATTCATGATCCAGGAATAGACATAAGTAAACTCGAGCAAAAACTATGAAAGAATTAGTAGACAAGAAGATTTATATTTTTTCCATGGCATTTGGATTTTCATTTTTCATTTCATTTTCAAAAATTCAAGAGCTGGGAATAGACAAAAATAGAAAAATAAAGTAATTCAATGAAAATTATTAACTAATTTTTCGGTAGACGAGTAGTAGGCATTATATTTTTTCTTTTCCAGGCTTTTTTGAAAAAACACAGAAATAAAAGAGCCTGAAATAAACAAAAATTAAAAAGTTAATAGAGGAAATTCAAAAAATAAATAAATTATAGACAATAATATGTTTCTCTTTCTCCAGGCTCAGGTTTTATCCATTAGAGAAATTTGAATTTAAAAAAATTGAAAGTTGGGAATGGACAAAAATTGAGAAACAAACACTTTAAGAAAAATTGAGATATAAATGATAGACATATATTTTTTCTATTCCAGGCTCTTGGATTTTTTTATTTCAATTTTGACTACATAGTAACATAGTTAGATTTAATTTGAGTTTTTATTGATATATTTATTTATTTATTCAATGACGTGAAAACCCCATTAATAGTTACAACACATACACTGCCATGAGAGTCGTAGTTAGTGCCTCAGAAAATATAACCTCTAGGGACTGCGGCTCGTCGTATATGCCTCACTACATATCATGCTATAGGGGGTCCAAAAAAAACCGGAATTTTGTTTTTGAGTTTTAACTTTTTTTTTGTTGACCGATTTTCTTTTTTTTTGGCTTGTTTGGAAGAGAAATGAACAGGCTAACGAATCAAAGTGAAACTTTTGACCGAGCTTTTGACATTTGAAAAAAATTTAAAATGGTGGACTTCTTCAAAAATTGCTTAGTTTTGGATAGCGATGGGACTTTTTTGTGATACCCTGTATAACTTTTTTTAATAAATTCTTAAAGTTCATCATTTTGCGAACATTTTAAGACCTGGACAGAAAAAATCGGTTTTGACCATCTTTTGGCCTTGTTTGTATTTTGATTGGGCTATTACTGAAAAAAAATCCCATATGTTGCACACTTAAGTAATGACACTGTATATTTGCCATGAAGTCATTACATAAATCCTCCAGGATGCATGCTCTTTTGTGGATAAGGCCACACGTTTGACTGCTTAGGAATGTCAGTTTAATGCTAATGTTACGTTGAATGCTAATCGATGTTTAACTGATCCTCATCTAGAGGGGCTTTCCCAGGGTGGCGGTACTTGCAATAGATGACGATGCAGTTTCCCAGAGGAGCTTTCCCAAGGTGGCGGTACTTGCACTGGGGAGACTTGACTCCAGAGCGGTGTTCCCAGGGTGGCAGTACTAACATTGGTTCAAGTCTGTATGTTGCTCGGCTTAGCCCGCTATTTATATGAATTTATTGCTGAATTGCAATAAACATCCAAATAAATCGGCAGTTGAATTAATAAGGTTGAATACCGGGAAGCTTTAGCTTAGGTTCAACAATATTTAGTTTTTTTTTATATAGTTTTTTTTTTATATTAAAAAGCGAGTTAAAAAGATTTATGGCCATTTCCACCAACTATTTTAGGGAAGCCCTAACAATAGGTATGCCTTAAACTGACATTTCTCCATGTAAAAATGTCATTTTAGGGAATGCTTATCGTTAGGGCTCCCCTAAAATAGTTGGTGGAAACGGCCATTAAGTAGTCTAATTTTTGTGAAAAAAAGCTAAATAGGTTTTTAGATATTCAAATTTTGCTCCTTTTTTTTATATTTTATGATTTAAAAAAAATCATACCTAAAATCATGATTCTAATCCACTGGTTTATCTCGACCCTGGTTAAAACGTCTGACAGGATTGATATGAGCCAGGGTCGGCAAAAACCCATGTTTTTAGACATTTCTATTGGGTTTTTGTGGGTTTCAAATTTTACAGAAATGACACTGAGACAGTTTTTGCCTCACAGCTCCATTAATTTTCATCTGATTTCAATGTAATTAATCTCTAATTTAAGCCAATTAATTTCTCTACAAACCTATTAATTGAGATTTAAATTTAGTTCCAACAGTTTTGCAGCTGAGAAGCTTCAAAATTGAATTTATCAAATATTGAAAATTTTCCAAAAATGACACTGAGACAGTTTTTGCCTCACAGCTCTGTTAATTTTCATTCGATTTCAGTGTAATTTTCCTAAGGATTTTTATTTTGTTCACTTGATATACCTAGGTTAGAAAAAACTGAATAATCTTAGATTTTGGCTCGGATTTTGGATTGATATTTGGCACTTTGGTAGGAATGAGTTCTGTATGAGTCGGTTTTTAACACAAACAGCCCAAAACCCACTTGGTTTTTGAAATTAGTTTGTGTATACCAACCCTAATATGAGCATCTATGATTTCTAAGGTTAGAGCCCCTGATTTATACATATAGATCTATATAAAATGACAAATTTATGAGACTAGAATGAGATCATTTTGTCCCTCCCAATTCCTGAGCTACAAAACTGTTTGAGTATTTATTTTATATTATTGGTGGTTTTTTACAGCCTATAATAAAACAATAAGTAATCATGAAGCAAATATATAATAATGTTCAGAAAAGAAAGGCGCTACTCAACTAAATCACTATATGACAACAACATTTGCAACATAAACTGCTTATACATACACTCCATTTGTACATATATACATAGAAAAGAAACCCTAAAAAAATTCGTACACCATCATCATCAAACCAGAGCTAATGTTAATAGACACCTAATAATACCTCAAAATAGGAAAACAATAAATTTAAAATTTGCTAATTACTTAGCGCCAAAATTTTATAATATGATACCAAAGAAAATCAAAGAAATAGGTAGGATAAAAATGTTTAGTGAGAAGAGCAAAGTATTTATTGTAGATAATTATGAATCATTTTCTAAACTTATGTCATAGGATAAAAAAAAAAATAGGATTAAGTTGCCATAAACAAATAATATTGTACTTTAACAAACCCATACAAAATATAATGTCCTCTAAGATAAACCTTTATTGTAAGAACAGGTTGTGTTTATTACTATATTATAAATAGTTAAGAATTTACTTGGTGCATACAGAGGTATTAAACCTCTAGGTGCCAACAAAATAATTTTTAAATACAAAATACATGCATTGTGAAAGAAAAAAAAAATGTATTGTAAAAAATATTTAAACCTGAATAAAGATTATTATTATTAAAAAAAAAAAAAAAAAAAAAAAAAAAAAAATATATGATGAAGTGCAAAGGACTAAGATGAGGACTAAGAATATTTCTGACTAAAATAGAACAAAAGAACAACAGAGCAAATTTAAACACTTGACATTTATAATATTTGAACCGTCTCTTATGACAATTAAGACTACATTAAATCTACAGATTTTTTGTTACCTACATGCTAACTATTAACAATTTTTTTCTTGTAGTTATGGAGTGTACCTGGATTACCTGGAGGCGATAAAGGACATTGGTGGAGGAATAGATCATTTTACACAGGGCTATAAAACTCACGGCCTTATTGTTAACCCTGATAATTCTATTACCTGCTTGGAATGGGCTCCTGGAGCAAAAGGACTATTTTTAACAGGAGCATTTAGTAAGGATTTTTGAATATACCTAGAAACTTTAGAAAATGGCATGAATATGATTTCTTTTTTAAAGACAATTGGGATCGTTCGAGTCATCCCTATAAACAATTGGAATATGGAAAATGGAAACTGATTTTACCTGCCAGACATGGAAAACCCGCTATTGATCATTTATCTGAACTGAAAGTAAGTAATAAATGTACTTGCTTATCATTAGTTTTCTTTTCAATTGGACATTTTTAGATTGTTGTTCTAACTGAAAATGGCAACAAAGAAGATAGGCTCTCCCCTTGGGCTCCATACGTGGTAGAACCACCCAAATCAGAAGGTACAATTTATAAACAACTCTTCTATAATCCTCCTGAAAAAGAAGTAAGTATTGTACAAGTTCTTTTTCTTAGTTTATTATTATCTTTATTATTGCAGCGATATGTTTTCAAAAATCAAAGACCACCAAGGCCGAAAAGTCTTCGCATCTATGAATGCCATGTCGGCATAGCTACTCAGGAACTCACAGTTGGTAGCTATGACAATTTCACAGATAATGTACTACCCCGCATTGTCAAACAGGGATATAATACTATTCAGTTAATGGCCATCATGGAACATGCTTACTATGCCAGTTTTGGTTATCAAGTGACCAGTTTCTTTGCTGCTTCCAGCAGGTAACAAATTTTACATCCTAGTTGAAAATAAAAATGTTCTAGTATATGAGACTTGCTTGAGAACATTATAAGATAGAGAAACTAGAAATAAGTTTTTGTGTCATAATATGTAAAAATTTTATCTTAATTTATACTAAAAAGGGCTTCACTGTGATGTGAAAATCAAAATTACAATTTAAGTTTGACTTGTTTTTCCACGTTTATGAAATTCTCTTCCATATAAGGCTCACACTCACATTAAAATTTGGGCAAATTACGGTATAATAACTTAATTCCCTCCAGTCCCATTGCACATTAAGCATTAAACAATGCATTGCATACTACATGCTTAAAGTTCTCATTCTAACTCTGGATTTTGAATTAATATTTTTCATTTACAAAGAATAAATATATTATTATTTTCAGATTTGGCACTCCTGAAGCACTAAAACGTCTAATAGATACAGCTCATGGATTGGGCCTTACCGTTTTATTGGATTTAGTTCATTCTCACGCATCTAAAAACGTCATGGATGGGTTGAATATGTTTGATGGCACGGATTCTTGTTATTTCCATTCCCTTCCTAAAGGCGAACATCCACTCTGGGATTCTAGGCTATTTAATTATTCTCAGTTTGAGGTATTGAAATTCTTGCTCTCCAACATCAGGTGGTGGCTAGATGAGTATAAATTTGACGGTTTCCGATTCGATGGAGTCACATCCATGTTATATCATTCCAGAGGTTGCTATTTATTGGAGAAAAAACGTTTTCGTTAAAATATATTTTTACAGGTATTGGCCAAGGATTTAGTGGACATTATGACGAATATTTTGGCATGGGTGTTGATACAGATGGTATAGTTTATTTGATGCTTGCAAATCACACTGTGCACACACTGCATCCAGATAACATCACCATTGCAGAAGACGTATCTGGTATGCCCGGTGTTTGTCGTCCAGTTGAAGAAGGATGTATGGGATTCGATTATCGTTTATCTATGGCGATCCCTGATAATTGGATTAAGCTTCTCAAGGAAGTTAGGGATGAAGACTGGAAAATGGGTAAGTGTATTATTTTTCTTGATCAAAAAAAATTTTCTAGCTTCAAAAAAATTGATACTTTGATTTTTTTCAGGTGATATTGTCCACATCCTCACAAACCGCCGATGGATGGAATCAAATGTCGCATACGCCGAATCTCACGATCAAGCTCTTGTTGGAGACAAAACCCTTGCCTTTTGGCTAATGGACAAAGAAATGTATACTCATATGAGTACACTATCAGAGCCGTCAGCTATTATCGATAGAGGTCTAGCTTTGCACAAAATGATTCGGTTCCTGACTCACGCTCTAGGAGGTGAAGCTTGGTTGAATTTTATAGGAAACGAATTTGGCCATCCCGAGTGGCTAGATTTTCCACGAGAAGGTAACAATAGCTCTTATCATTATGCTAGAAGACAATGGAATTTAGTTGATGATGATTCGCTCAGATACAAGTTTCTCAATAATTGGGATCGAGCTATGAATGAAGGTGAAGAGAAGTAAGTTTATACAATTACCAACCAAATTTCAAAGCATATTCGGGTTTGGAAAAAGGACGGTTCTAGAACGGTTCAAAACAATCGGACAGTTTGTTAGTCAACAATATGACAACAATTCGGCTATCACAAATTTCATTAATTAACTTTGCAATTGTTTTGAACCGTTCTAGAATCGTCGTTTTTCCAAACCTGAATAGGCCCTTAGTACATATTGTTCAGTATGCGGGTTCTTGGATCTCTCTAAACTCCTTTAAGGCTCAATTCCAAGCTCCTTGGGCAACGTTGTGAGCCACTTTTACAATTGGTTTTAAACCTTCTCTTATCTAGGTACTAGAATTGTGCGATAAAACTCTGATTGGGGATTCGCAATAATTCTTACCGAGGCGAAATTCATTGTATATTCTAGCCAAGGTGCACAATCAATTTATAAGCCCAACATACGAATTTTAAAAGGCTATCTCTGTTATTTTATAACATATTACATATTATATTTTACAAGAAAACTTATGATTACAGATATGGTTGGTTATCAGCTGGGGCCGGCTACGTGAGCACAAAACATGAAGATGACAAAGTTATTGTTTTTGAAAGAGCCGGCTGCATCTTTGCATTTAATTTTCATCCAACCAAGAGCTTTGCAGATTACAAGATTGGTGTTAACAACAGTGGAACTTACAAAGTAGTCTTTAATTCCGATGAGGGGAGATTTGGAGGCTTTCATCGTATTGATAGTTCTGTTGAGGGTCATGCAGTTAAAGAGAATTATAATGGAAGGAGTCACACTCTAATGGTAAGGACTGTTATGTTTTTTTTTTCTAAACTGCAAAACAAACATTTGTATATATTTCAGATTTATATCCCAAGCCGTACCTGTTTGTGCATGGCCAATATGTGAACTTCCCAGATGTCACTGTTTTGTTTTTGAATTACTTAGTTTACAATTGTTTTTTTGTACTGAAATTAATGTTCCTCAATAACATGAGATTGTTGAAAATGTTTTTGAATCTGACTTAGCCAGATACTAGATTTAAGTTTATATTAGTTATTACTTCCTTCAGATATTTATTTATGTATATTAATTGAAAAGTGGGTGAATAAAAATATATTTTTTCATTGAAATTGGTAGTCTTCCAAAGTTTGTTTATTTGTTTATTATCCTGATAAATCCAAGAGACCCAAGATTTTCTCTTTGACAAAAAAGAATAATCACTGGGGCAATTTGTAAATTTCACCATTTTTTCTAGGAAGATATCGCTTATAAAGACCAGAATATTATTTGTTTTCGAAAAATTCAGCAGCCCTATATGTATATAGAACATAGAAAACCCTTTCAAATACCTGAGAGGGAGCTGTAAGAATGAATACTGTTCTGTAACTATCCATTCTTTCTTTATCCTTCTTTCTTACACCAGCCTCAATTTTGTTAGAATTGATGATTCCACACTTTCATAGAGGTTACCTCCAGGTTGCTTATAGAAAAACCGAGGCCGTCATGAGGCCATGTGAAGGAAGCAATTTAAAGTAAAATAAATATTCTAATAGTCGTAGAAAAAATAATTTTAATGATTTGCTTGTAGCAGGGTCACACGAAAAAGACGTATATTTTACCGAGTTAGCCGTTAGGTTACTCGATGAAAATTCAATAAGTATCAGTATACCTACTTTATGAAAAGATTGTATTAAATTTTAACAGATTATTATCCCAAATTCATGCTTGCCACAGCTCATTTCCCTCCCATGTGTTTCTCTGAAAAATATGCAGCGTTTGGAGAGAAACAATCCTTGTCTCAAAGGGTGATGGTTAGGGTAACCTATTGGTGGAAAGGTTAGATATTATGCTCTTCAGTTGACAAAGTTTGCAAATTATCGTATCATTATTTTTGTCTCTAACGAAAAAAAAAAGTCAACTGATTATTTGATAAACATATCAATAACTCTTGGGCACATTCCCAACTTTTCAACGAGAAATAGAGACGATCAATGCTGTACGCCGCTGAAACTGGAGCTGACACGTCGACAACAAAATTACAACGAATTTTAAAAATGTCGACACTAAGAAACATATCAAGTTTATATTATAAGATGAATAAGAAACCAAATGACCAAATAAGCATGAAACGAGCATGTCGCGAATTGCGCCTTCTCAGAATAGCCAGAGGGATAATGAACGGAACACTCAAAAACCCATAGGTAGGCAGAGGCCACCCAAGAAGTACATGTTATTATTATGCCTATACTTACATCTGGACGCTGTTATAGACGGTCAAATAAGAAAAAGTGTCGCGTTTCAGCCCTGATTGGTTGACACCAAACACAGGTGCGTTTTGTCATTAAAACGCCTTGCAATGATGAAGGAATGAGAAGGCAAGTGTACGTCCTAGGTTCAAGAATATGTAAGCACTATCATAAAATTAAATCTATAAAAAAATATTTATGTATTAACTATACATAAATACCTCACATCTACTCCAATTTGGACTCTTTTAATACCTACTCTGAGGCTCAATTTTCATGAAATCATTATTGGTGGGTGCATCTTCAATATAGTGGAGTAAAATCACAATGAAATTATGACTTTGAGTGATTCCGAGGTACCACCAGATGAAACCTATATCATCTTGTAGAGGACACTCTGGGGCATACGAAATGGGAATGTACAACTTTTTTTAGTAGGACTGAACTTTGAAATCGGCCCTTAAACGTGACTGAGCTCGAATTTAAACATTACCCGCTGTATTAATTTAAGCATACAATCTAAAATTCTGATTTTTTGCACACTTATACTTGAAACATGAGCGCATCTAATGACAGTTCAGAAATTTCGAAAAGGTTTAAGGTTTTTTTGTTAAAAAAGAATATAGAATTATCAAAATCGTGCATCTAAAACTTCACCTTGCGGCGAGCAACGTGAATTATTGAAAATTTCTATACATATATATCGAATCAAATGTAGTAAAAACATTGACGAAGTTTTTGAAAAAAAAATTAAGTCGCTAACTTTAACGGTTATAGAAATATGAATTTTTATCCAGGAGCTTTGAAATGCGCTCTGATGCTGAAAGCGGCTAGCGGCTAAGGCTACCATCCTCTGGAAATCATCTGCGTTAGTGTGTTAGCGTTACATCTAGAAATAAAATAAAAAAATCTATAAACATAAAGTAATTGATTGAATCCTTTTTTATGAAGTTAGTTTAAATATTTTGTCCTTCGTCATCCTCATATAAATCAGGAACATTATTTTGACAACTTTTGCAGGAACAATCGCTGCAGCATGTTAAACCCTCTTTCAAGCAGACACATTTATTATTTTGACATAATTTATCTTCGCAGAAGACATTCATTAGTTGCCTTGTATTCATTGGTATGGGATCAGCAGTCATCAAAACAGGCTCAAAAATTCCATTATTCCTAGTCCAACCAAAGTTAACAGGGTCAAGTATAGACATAATAGGTATATGACTGGATATCCATATACGCAGTTGATATATGCACCTGAAATTTTGTTTATCGCATAAATACAGCTTCTTTTGTTATATATACACCTAGCTCAGTACATGCTGGTAAAATGCATCATCTGTGGGTAGAAGTTCAGAAGCGGATTTATTGGAAGTTGTGGTAAATTGATATCTCAATTCATCGAGGGTTTTTAGGGCCTCGATCTTATTTCTGAATAGGACCAATGCAAATTTGGTGGCAATATAAGGTTCCAAGATTTTTAGAAAATACATTTTTTGCGTTTGCATTTGTGGTATCGCATCCTGTTGACACATGCAACGCTGGTAAACATTAATAAACTTAATTTTCCAGTACTATTTATTGGAATGATCCGTTTTTTATTCCCTTGTCCTAATTCCATAAAAAGGTAGGTTTCTTTCAAAGAACTTACTTCAATAAATTCAGAATAGTGGTAAATAAGTAATACCAGAACATTTGCATCTGCAGACTTCAACAACACTTTTTTTGGTGAAGTATCTGATATTCATATAAGACGTGGATTATTGATTGATTTTTGAGCCTAAAAGGAGGGAGGAAAAGGGTTTTTTATTTTTTGATATCTGTCAAACTTTTTCCACAAAAAAAAAAATCGAAATTGGCAAAAGAAAGCTCAATCCTACAAACTTAAGGTAAGAGGTAGTCAAATTCCCCAACTTTCTCCGAATCCAACCAACATTGTAACTTCAACCGTTCCCCAGATCATAATGCTATCCCATCTTTATCTTGGACACACTGTATACAAATTTTCAAAATAAACTTTTTCCTCGATTCCTCATAATTAACGCTAAATACAAATTATATAAAAAAAATAGAGGGTGGTCATTGGAAAAATTTGAGTTTCATTTGTTTAAAGTTTTGTTTCAATACTTTCCTGTGGCAACCCGTGTAAAAGGAAAACCTAAAAATGAAATATGATGCGCAATAAGATATAGATGTACATTAGATTTGATAACCTACAGAAAATTACAAATGGCCATCAAAAATTGCGAATCGAAAATTTGATAATCTTACTTTACTGTCTGCATTAATCTAATTTTGAACCTAAAATTGCCGAAAAGTCCATTTTTGAACTTTCTACTAATCTCACCGCTTGCTGAGCGATTTTTCGAAAAATGATTAGTGTTACGTTGATATCTATTAATCATCAGGTACCTATTTAATTTTTCTAGTTTCTTTGAAGAAGACTTAAGCCGAAAATGTAAAATACGTTGGATCGCTCCAAGACCAGAAGAAGCCGGCACTGGGCTGGGCAGATAGGTACATTCAACAACTAAAGTAATGTGTCCCTCGATGTGCGGCATCCTACTTCATTGCTACACAACGTGGCAACGACGCTGCGCGTGAATGTTTACATTATTAAAATCCCTCCGATTTTTCATTGTTTGATTGTTTGGTGGATACGTATTTTTTTATATAGGATGCATATTTTATTCAGTGTTTAATGTTAAAGTAGAAAAGCGGATGCTGATAATATTCACTTGCAAGTAAAATAATGAACTAAACTATTTTAATGCCTACTTGCGGTGGGGACAACAAAAGGTTAATACTAAAGAGGCTCAATATATCTCAAACATTTTGCAACTTCATTGTTTTTGCAGTTTTCAAAATGCCCTCTGAGAAACTAAAATGTTATTAGTTTTGCATTACTTTACTAACCCATACCTATAAGTGATTACACTTTATTAAACTTAAACGGTCGTAATAAGGGCACATCCAATTAATTTTTTATCCAGATTTTATTGACTATTTCACTAGAGTGTATTACACCAGCAATAAATTCGGTATTCACCTGACAATAACGCTACCTGGACAATACCAACAACATGGTATTTCAGCGACCATCTTTTGACATTGTCAAACTGGTATTTTTAATTTGAAGATTTTATTCATAATTTTGCTTTCTATTTATTTTCAAAATCTTACGTGAAATAGTCATGACGAATACCACTCGAGAAAAAATTGTGTAGGCAAAATTGTTCTCAAGGTTTTATTCAAGTTTGTTGCTTTACGGCAATTTCGCTCATGACATTTTTGATAAATTTTGTCAAAAATGTCATTCGCGAAATTGCCAAGCAACAAACTTTCATACCTTTCGAAAATTTTGCCGACAAAATTTTTTCTCTTGTGATATTACACTGAGAAAATTTTTTCATTGTCATAGCTAATTTTTCTGCTGCCGTAGCCAAAAACTTTGGCTACATAGGGGACAGCCAAGATCTTTACTACCGCCGAAAAGATAACTTTACTGGCACCGTTTATTTGCGGTAGCAAAGTGACTTTATAAAGAATTTACTCACAGTTTCTACAAGGTCACTTTGCTGGCATAGAAAAGGTACTTTGCTGTCGTAGGAAAGTAACTATGCTGTCCTAGAAAAGAGGTTATATACCCTCAAAAACATCCTTTTTTGCTATTGAAAAGTAGATTGCTAAGACAGAAAAGATATTTGTTGTTGTTATTAGAAATGCTTCCTGAAATAGGAAAGCATTTGTCTCAGAACAAAAAATTTCTTGCCAGAATCAGCCAAGTGTTTTATTAGCCATGGGAAGTTATTTGTCTCACCAATAGCAAAAATATTTTGCTGGAAATCTTTGGAAATATGTAGTAGCGCGTCCATCATAACAAAACCAGGAGATAAACA